GAAGCTGTTGAAGGACCATTTTAACAGCAAACCCAGTGAAATTGTGCAGCGCTATAAATTGCTAGGAAGCTTTGAGAATCAGTCATGTCATATGTGGCTGTACTGAGGAAATTAGCACAAGTTATCAGAAATGCTCAAGACAGACTAATCTGTTGGATTGCAGACGACTGCATACAGCACTGAGAGACGACAAGCAAGGATGTGAAAGATATACAGTCGCTGGAGGCTATACAGATGCATGCAAGGGCCCCCCAGGCAGTTCACAAAATGTCAAGGCAGAGCCTGAGTAAGCACCATCATAAGGCTTGCTACAGGTGTGGGAGTGAGCAGCACAGGGCTGGGGACTATAAGTTCATTAATGAAATCTGTCACAAGTGTGGTAAGACTGGCCATATTCAGAAAGTGTGCAGGTCAAAATGTTCAGCGAGCACAGTAAAACCTAAAGAGGGCGGAGTGCAGCTGACAAATAAGAAAGTGACAACTCAGGGTGCAAACTATGTTAGCCAAGGGGAAGACAAAACACCGGACATAGACATAGATGAGGTCATGTTCACATTGTACAAACTGGAGGGGATAGACATACCAGCAGAAGAGCCATTTATAGAGACACTGACTGTTAATGAAACTGAAATGCAGTTTGAAGTGGACTCAGGATATGGGGTAACAGTAGTGAACCACTCTATGTACAGAGGTCCCAAAACTACAGCCATGCAGAATGAGACTTAGAACATATACAGGACATAGGGTAAATGTTTTGGGAGCAGCCATGGTCAAGTGCAGAGTAGAGAGATAACAAAAAATCTACCTGTGGTAGTTTTGACAGGGACAGGCCCTAGTCTAGTTGGTGGGGGTGGATCAAAAGACTAGGTTTACAGTAGAGACCAGAACGCATAAAATCCACCAGGTCAAGAGAGACACCCTAAAGTAGGAGTCTCAAACTCAACTTACCTAGGGGCCGCTGGAGGTAGAGTCTGGGTGAGGCTGGGCCACATCAAGTATTCCACAAAAAAAGGGTTTCAAGTATTCCAAAAAAAAAAGTACAACTGATCCAATCTTCTCAATCTTAACAAGTCAGAACATGCAGAACATGAACAGTTCTTCAGAACATAGGCTTCATTTACTTCCTCCTACTCCTTGCTGCCAGAGACTTGGCAGCGCTTCCTCTCACACAGCTGAGCCACATTTGGCTTGAGGGAGGAAGCAACTGAGACCCTCAGTATGGCTTTAAGATGCTTATCTTTAAGTTTGGACCTGAACTTTGACTTATGCCTGTAACATGCAATGTTTGATGAACTTGCCGTCTTTGAATGGCTTTCCTGCCTTAGCAATCATCTCACTCACCACGTAGCTAGCTTTGACAGCCGCTTCACTCTCTTTGCTTGCTTTCTTGAAAAGATCTTGTTGCCTCAGTAGACATGTTTTAAGTTTGGCGACCCGGTCCTCTCGCTCATCTCCCAGGTATTTTGCATACTCCTCAGCATGTTTAGTTGAGTAATGACGTCTGATGTTATACTCCTTGTGCACCGCGACTTTATCCGTGCATATTAGACACTTTGGGATGCCCCTGTGCTCAACAAAAAAATATTCCGTCTCCCACTTCTCCTGAAATTGTCTGCTCATCGCCAACTTTTCTCTTCGCAGCAGGTTTTGAAAAAGACATGACTGGGACTAACAAAAACCGTATAGCACTAGGTGACAGGATATATTTTCCCTCGGTGACCCAAACATGTTACAAGTGACCAATTGCTAATTCGCATTGTTGTCACGAGCCTGAGCTACGGTAACCCACAAGTGTTAAAAAATATAAAACGCCCAGATGCATGTGAGAAAAAACGCGCGGGCCGCACTAACACAAAGCTTTGATTTCAGGCAGGGGGCCACAAGATATTGTTCCAGGGGCCGCAATTGGCCCGCGGGCTGCGAGTCTGAGACCCCTGCCCTAAAGGAAGTAGTTGGGGAGCATGAGGAGGTTTTCAAGGAGGAACAAGGTAGGTTCAAAGGCCCCCCAGCTAAGATATATATGGAAAAGGAAGCAACCCCCAGATTTTTTAAAGCCAGACCTGTCCCATATGCAATGAGAGGAAGAGGCTTGAGGCTGAACTCGACCGTCTCCTAGCCCAGGAGGTAACTGAACTTGAAATATGCAGAGTGGGCAGCGCCAGTGGTTCCTGTCCTCAAACGAGATAACTCAGCAAGGCTGTGCAGAGACTACAAACTGACTGTAAATCAGGTGTCAAAACCTAGTAACCTAGTAAGTATCCAATTCCCAGAGTTGAGGACTTGTTTACCAGCCTGTCAGGAGGACAGACATTCACAAAACTAGATCTGAGCCACACATATCACAAATTCCTTTGGATGAGGATGCAAAAAAGTACATGACTGTAAACGCACACAAAGGCTTGTTCACATACAAGCTGCTACAATTTGGAGTGTCAACTAGCCCATCTAGCCTATCAACTATCCTATCTTTCAAGTGGCTAAAGGGGCTGGTCTCTCGCTGAAGAGGACAAAGTGCTCATTCATGAGTGAAGAGGTGATGTTTCTAGGTCACAAAGTGGATGCAACAGGACTACATCCAGTTCAACCAATCAAGGAGGCGCCTACACCTTCAAATATGACAGAGCTAAAGGCATATCTCAGACTGTAAAATTACAATAACAGGTTTCTGCCAGGTCTGTCAACTGTCCTTGCTGCAGTGCACAAGCTGCCACAAAGAGACACAAAAATAATTGTGTTATCATGTGATGCATCACCATACAGAGTCGGTGCAGTGCTGTCACATCAGATTCCAGACGGAACTGAAAGACCAATTGGAGTTACATCACGGACTCTTAATGCAGCAGAGAAAAACTACTCACAGCTGGATAAAGAAGGACTGGCAGTGATGTTTGGAATCAAATGCTTTTGCAAGTACATTTATGGAAAGAAGTTCACCATAGTGACAGATTACAAGCCCTTGTTCTCACTTTTCAGTGAGGTGCGAGCAGTACCACAAATGGCATCTCCCAGGATCCAGACATGGGTTGTGTACAAAGAGGGAAAATATCACAACAATGCATATGCACTGACCTGCCTGCCCTTACCAGAGAAACCAGACCTAGAAGTGCTAGAAGAGAGGGTTCTCATGCTGTAGAGGAGTGCCTCGGAGCTGAGCACCCGTGGCACTAATGATAATGATATAAGAAATAATTAAAATACAAATCAAATTAAATTCCATGTTTAACAAGTATGAGATGTGATATCAATATAATATGGAAAAAATGGTTTTGTGACAGTTTGTGAATCTATATGAAGCTAAATGAGGAAGACGAGCTTCTTGTTTTCTGGGAGGAAGTTGACAGAATTAACAACTGACTGACACATTTTCGAGAAGAGGGATTTTCAATTTGGTTTCTGAGCACAGGACTGTGTCATCACATAATGTGAATTATACATTTTCAGTTTAAGATGTTTTATTGACAATCAACTCATGTCGTGTATGCGTGTGTGTGTGTTGTTGATTTATATATTTATATAATTGGTCAACATTGTAATGTGTGAAATGTAGCTGTACATTCATTATGCTCATTGTGTCTACACAGCAGGTGACATGGGTCTGTGTGACAATATACAGTAATCCTACTGTAACATTTACATTGACACATGCTGCTGATTTATTCTGTTAAAACAGGAGATAAACTCTGCCCATGTGACATCAACTCATAGAAAAACATTAACTAACATAGACAAACATGAACAAACATAAACAAACAAACATAAACAAGCATGAAAACCATAAACAAACACAAATAAACATAAGGCTCTCTTCCTCTACACACACACACACACACATGAAGCACATTAAATATTGATATTATGTTATTAATACACACATGATGGGTATGGTAAAGGCAGATGTTTGGCCTTATGGATTTTCTGTTTATCATTTCATTTACATCTATCACTTCATCTGTCTTTTCACTGACCATTCAGTCTAATTGTTCCTCTGTACAGTTATAGTTGCAGACTCTCTTCACCTCCCTGCACTAGTATTTGAGTCTGATTCATTTGATAAAAACACACAAACACAATAAACACCATTTAAGATGAATATGACTGATAACATTATTATCTATTTATTTAATTATCAAAAACCTTTAATAAAGACCAACACAGTTCTATATAAACAGCTGGCTTAAGTTATCCACAGAATAAAAGCTGATCTGCCGTAAAATTCAGGAGCTAACACTAGCCACCTGCAGAACAAAGAGTTTTAAAACATGTGATTTAGGATTTAGACAGTTTATAGCAGTAGTTGTTGGCAGTGAACATGTTCAGACAGTTCTGGATCAGGCAGTTCAGAGATGTTACTTGTGTTACTTCCTGTTTGTTATTTCCTACCCTGAATTCACAGTCTGCACCAGAAACAACTCTGAGACCATCATAAATATTACTGTGTGTGCATAATACTGTTGAGAAGACATGTGTGAAGTTGTGGGTTAACAGTGCAGGTGAAGTTGTGCCTAATGAAAAATCAAATAAGATAGAACTTTATTCAGTCTCAGACTGTTGTGGGTAGTGAGAACAGTGGGCACAGAGGTCAGTGAGTGGAGACAGACAGTGTCACATGTTGACTCTAGTCATTGTGCTGCACCACAGTATCTGCTGTTATGTTCAAACCCAGTAACTGTGACAGCTGCTACCTCTATATCTACCAACCCTCATCCTCATCTGATGACCTGTTGTGTGTTGTCCTCAGTGTGGGTGTGGTTCTATGTATATAGATATATATTACATAGACACCTTATTGTTCCTCATATTAGAAAGCAGAAATGTGTTGTTGACCCAACATTGCACTATGCACTTCTACCTTTTATGGTGTTGATATAGTGTGTGACTGTGCACAGGAAACTGTGTTCATACCCAGCATCAGTTGTGAGTGTGATCTGTGGTGGGTGGAGGTTTCACACATATCAGCTGAATGACATGTTCACAGCTCCCTGTCTGCAGCTCTGAGACCTTTCACACCCTATCATCAGATGTTCTGTAGCCACTCATTACAGGTTCACCAGCTTACAGGGGTAAGGTTTTATTTTCTAATTAAACTGAACTCTTAATTGAACTCTTGTACTCTGATGATGTTTGATGAACTGTCAGTGTGCACCAGTTTCTACAGGTTTACAACTCATAACCAGTTGTTGTAGAAAATTACCATGTTGAATTTTAGCACGTTAGTATTTCAGTACCTGCAAATAGACACAGACAGGAGGAGACAAACAGACACAGGCAGGCAGTATGTTACATCATCAGTTTTAGGGTGATTGATGGAGCTGATGTTCCTGATGGTTTCATTGTGAGAACAATAACAATGGACTGGACTGTCTGGTAGACCCTGTCAATCATTTACACCAAAAACACAAGGTCCAGGCTCCATCCTCCTCTTAGTGCCTTTGTTGGTTTTTGATTGGTGGTGAGTATTTGTGCCCTATGAACTTCACATCATCAACTGTGTTTTGTCAGAAATGGAAGATTAGTTTGTCACTGTTCTGTGGATATACAACTTGATCCATGCAGGATCACTCTACCCCAACTCTACCAAGTATCAAAGTCAACCTGACCAAGACCTGATGTCTTCAAGTTTTCAGAGTAAATGAAGTATGTGTTGTTCCAATCCCCTCTTTTTAATTCTGCTGAATGTTGCTCTGTCTTTGTTTTGTGTCATCAGGAAATGGATCAGTGTTTGCTGTTTCTCCTGCTGCTGCTGATGGGCAGTGAGGGTAAGCTTTCACACACAATATGAAGCAGGTATATGTGATTGACTGGTTAGGAGCCAGGGTCTCACACAGGGGCCTCGGTCTTAAAGATCTAAGAGCTGGTGAGAGAAGAGAAAATTGACAATGTGGTCTGAGAAGCTTCCACCTCACAGCAGTGTTCGTATTGAGAGTCAGTCTGCTCTGAACTGATGAAGACTGAAACTCAGTCTCAGACCAACAACAAACCATGCCAGACTTATCAATATCAATACCAATAGGTTTTATTATTAAAGAAGCTAATGTGTGATCAGTGATCGATGAAGTGAATCATCATTAATCAGCTTTATCTGACAAACACTTGTTTTCACTCTGTTACTGACACTAGCATTGGTACTCAGGACAGGACTTAGTACCTGAACTACAATTGTAAATCTGCCCAGCCCTACAGTGTGTGTTGTACGGAGGTTGTGGTCTTGTTTTGCAGGATTGGGTCAACCAGAGGAAGTGTGCTCAAAGTCGGTGATCAACTCGTGTAATGACTGCATCAAATCTGGACCGTACTGTGTGTGGTGCCAAGACCTGGTGAGAAACAGACTTCATGTAAAATCTGTGTGCGTTCCTGCTCAGGGTTTATAGTGACAGCTGGTACAGTGTTAGACACCTGGTCAACAGGTAGGTGATGAAGAACAGGCCAGTCACTGTCTCCCTTAGCTGATGCTGCTGGTTTCACATCAACACAACAGGTGGATGAAGGCAGCAGTCACCACACAACTCAGTATCATCACTCTCAGAGTGCTGGACCTGATTCTGTCTGGATCCCATATGAACAGAGCTCTGACAGTTTATTCAAATGTCCATCAGTTCTAACACAATCAGAGCTCTGTGACATCCACACACTGGAAAATAAAGATGGACGTCGCCTCTTTTGACATCATCCACAGATTTTTGAAGAGCAGTTTTGAAGCTCAGAGTGAGCTGCTCCACTGTCGGCATCTTGGCAGTGTCTGACTCCACCCCTAGTTCCCAGCTATTTATTTTGTCAAGCACTAATACTGTGAATATTGTCCATGTACTGCAGCGTCAAGTCTCCTGCTCATTTATCTCAGAACAGAAAGGACCAGGGCTCTCATTTATTTATTTACTTGGTTTATGGCTTAAATTAGACATTTATAATGCAAACTCAACTTCCTGCACATTTACTTTCTGTGTTGACAAGAAGACATCAGTACCACAACAGAGTCATGCAATCCTCATTTCCATCCTTGATCTATTTTAAATCCTCCTGTACATGTCTTTAATGACAAGTCTTCCAGTGGATCAGTGCACATGTTGTCTTCTTTGTCTGTAACACTTTTTATCTGAAAAACCTGCTGAAAGTGTTGGTGATGTCACAGAACAGGTAGTACAGGTAATTCCACCAATGACAACCTGTAACCATAGTGATGACTGGAAATGATTGCAGTATACAAACAGTATTGAAGTGTTTCCAGCAGAGTGATGAGTTTGGCTTATCAATGGATCTAGTGGTGAAGAAATGGATATTATACTAAATATATCCTGACCATCATAGTACATTTGGACAGGTGGTATTTTGTAACTTGCTTAAACAGAATAACAGGAGGTAACAGTGACAACAACATACATGAGTGAACATAATATATTTTCAGAATAAAAGGACCATTGTTATATCTTCTTATGTGTTTTTGTACAGAATTTCACAAAAGCAGGTGAACAGGAAGCTGCTCGCTGTGACACCAGAGCTCAGCTGACAGCGAGAGGCTGCGAAAAAATCATCTCCCCCACCAACACACTGACCATTGACAGGAATGATGCACTGGCTGAGTCTTTCATCCAGCAGGAGCCAGTCCAGCTGACACCTCAGAAGATCACTCTGAATCTGCGCCCCGGTCAGTCGAATCAGTTAATGCTAAGCTTTCACACTTTTAGGTTCCTGAGTGAAACCAGAAACCTGTGCTGCTACAGCATCCAGATTTGTTCTCATGTTTTTCATGATCGTCTCTCATCATTTGATTCATGAGTTTGTTTTTTTCTTGTGTGTGCAGGGCTTTCTCAAACATTCACCGTCTCCTTTAAGAGAGTTCAGGGTTACCCAGTTGATCTGTACTATCTGATGGACCTGTCCTACTCCATGAAAGATGACCTGGAAAAAGTGAAAGAACTGGGACAAGATCTTTTTGCAGCTCTGAGAAGAATCACTCAGCATGCTCAAATAGGTAACAAGGCTCTAATCTCAAAATTTATTATTGTGTTATACTTTAGAATACACCCGCAATTTACTTACATATCCTTTACATATCACAGTGCCTGTTGGTGATCGACACCAGGACATATACAGTGGGGTCCCAAAGTCTGTGTGAAATGTTGAATGGGATAGTGATCTCAGACTTTGGAAACCCACTGTATGTGTCTCAAATCAGATATTTCAGTCAGTGAACTCACATGCAGTACACTGTGTACACAGTACACACAGTGGTGTAGTGCGTGAATTTTAACAGAGTAGTATTGCCTCAAATCAAACACAGCTGTCCCCTGGAAATGACTGTCACAAAAATGACCACCAAAATTTCCATGACTTAAAAATGAATTAAAAATTTTACTTTCCTGTGTGCCCCCCTGCACCAAAAACGTGTCCTCCTTCCTTGGTTGCTGTTTCCACAAGTGTGAAAACATGTTGGTGCCCCCCCCTCCCCCCCTCCCTCCACCCCCCCTCTCTGCATAGCCAAGATGGTGACCATTGGGAGTGAGAAGTGTCCATTGTTTACACTCACCTATTTTGAGTGAACCATCTGGGTACTTGTAGTTCACGGCATGTTGTTGTACATGTTAGTGTGAACACACTGTTGCACTCAAAACAGTAAGTGTGAGCATGGATGTACGTGAATTGAGACACGCAGCGCTGTCCCTAAATAATCTTCCCTCACTCCCCAGGGTCCTAAAGGCCTCTCCTTTACACATGAAGTGACTGATCTTCAGCAGCCACATTTATAATGTTATTTCAGAGGCTGCCATAGACTCATAGAGGCTGCTGTAGACTCATAGAGGTCACTGTAGACTCATAGAGGCTGCCATAGACAGAGAGGCTGATGAAGACTCATAAGCCGCATTTTGACCAAAAAGTACCTGGAACTTTACCTGGTACTTTTCTTCAGGAACTATAAGGTTCCTGTGGTCCATTGTTGTCTGCGTTTCCACCGCGGCCTAAAGTCCCGAGAAGATTATGCAAAATTATTACTTGACATTACATTATTCAGAGCTCTTTGAGGACATAACATGAACGAAAATACGGGACAAATGGCATCCCATATGTATTCAATACAAGACGCAACATTTTATTTTCAAATACAGGACGATCCCGTATTATATGTGATGGGTGGCAACCCTAGCCACTCTGGTTGTTGTGGTCCTTTATTTTGTTGAAGGCCTGTTTCAGTTTTTTTACCTTCTCCCAGACCTGTTTCACAGTGTGGAAAATGTGTTTGCTCACTCGGTGCTCACTCGACCAGTCACAAATGTTCAGCACTGCAAACCACACCCCCCAAAGTTTTTGAATGCTTGGAAAGTACTACCCCGCGACCAGGGACTTTTTTAGGGATCGATCAATTACCCCAGAACTAAATTTAGACCCTGGTTCGTGGTGGAAATGTGCATAGTTCCCCAAAAGGTTCCTGGTTCCTGGGGAAAGTTCCTGCAGTGGAAACATGGTTACAGAGGCTGCCGTAGACTCCTATAGTAGAATCACAGGAAGCAGCCTCTCCCTCCTCTCTTTGTCTTTGTCACTAAAACAGCACACACACACATATGTATATATGTGACATATCTGTCAGTGTTCTGAAATATCTGATAACGTTACCTTATGAAAACACTAACAGCTGTTTCTATGATGACAGGGTTCGGTGCCTTTGTTGATAAGACAGTCCTTCCTTACACCAACACCAACAAAGAGAAACTGGAGAAGCCATGTGATGAGGATGACCAGCAGTGTCAGCCTGCCTTCGGCTACAGACACGTGCTCAGTCTGACTCCAGACAAGAATGAGTTTAACAGTAAAGTGAGCACGCAGTTCATCTCTGGGAACCTGGACTCTCCTGAGGGGAGTCTAGATGCCATGATGCAGGCTGCTGTATGTGGGGTAAGAGATGACTATGCACTGTGAGTATTTAGAACAGATTGAATCTAGAAAAGCCATTCAAGTTGAAATACCGAATGAAGTGGTTCAAACTGTCTTTAACAGGCTGTATGAGCCTGGTAACTGTACCAGCTGTGAACCACTACAGTAAGGTCAGAAAACAAATGACTCTCGACAGTCACTCTCCTGAGGTCTCACACTGGTGTCAGCCTTGAGCTCTGAGGATATACATTGTACCATAGCCTAATGAAGTCTGGTGAAAACTTAACAAGTGCCTGACTGTCTGAAAAGGAGGGTCTCACTGAGTGATAGTTGATAAGTGATTTCGATATGAACTATCAAATCATCTGCTGATCCAGAGCTGCTCAGTCATGGCTTCATCCTCCTCATCAAAGAGTCAGAGGAGGTCCAGTTTTACTTCTTCATGACTCCTGTGCGACACCAGACAAAATAATAAAAGTGCTGCAGGACCTGCAGCAATTGAGCCTATAGACTCCTCTGGATGGTGTAGCGATGGTGCAGCCTGTGTGAAACAGACAGAGGAAACATGGATATTAAAAACTGACAAGAGGTGAAAGTCATGAGTTTATGTGGAAAAGAAAAGCATAAGGAGCTGATTCTACATTTAGTAAACAAGTGTAGTGCTGCTCAGATTGTGTTAAATCAGCAGCTAAAGCCTTTTAAGGTTTGTGTGGTGAAGGTCTAAATATGGAAAAAGTCAATGCTGACTTGAAATATACAGAGGGCGAAAACACAATCTTCCCCTGACCTAGTGGCCTAAACCTGACAGGAGGGATGTAGTCAGGGTTTTTCCTGTCACATTTTGTGCCGCCTCCGCCTCCCGAAAAAAAACTCTAGTAGACCTACTTGTTTTCTCTGTACTTAGTGGATTCGACGCTTGTAACTGCATTTTTGACTGTATGCCACTACGGCAATGTAGTGGCACTTTATCGTAATCCGTTCATCAGGCAGAGCCATCCGAAAGAAGAATACGAATGCGCTGGATTTTCTGCTTGCAGAAGGAGGCGGCGACCTTTTGAGGCTCTTCAAATAAGTGAATATTATCTCTTTTTACACCCAAGCACACCCAGCTTCTTGAAGAGTTTCTAAATTCGTCCTAAATAATGTTACATTCCATCGTGTATGTTTTTTTGTTTTTTTTTGCAGAAATGTCTCAAATCACAGTTTATTTTAAAAGAGTTTGCGAGGAGGAGAATTGCAAGGACAGGTGAAACAGTGCAGAGTGCAGACATCATTAGTTCTTCTAATGTGGGAAAAAAATGGTAATTCATGTTACTGATGAGATACGGTTAATGTGTCAAGACTGACAGTAGGCTTAGTTCTCAGCCACAAGTGGAAGGTACCGGTGGAGGAGAAGATCAGAGCGCGAGAGAGGAGTCAAAGGAGAGTACCAAGTCTTCAGGAGTGTGTTAATGAGTGTATTAAAGCCGACGTTGATGGTGATTTTAACATCACTTATTATTCATCTTCACAGATGTTCTCAAAAGCATAGAGTGAGTGGCTTTGACCCACAGTGGCTGGAGAGATAATGATAATGAAAACAGAAATATTGCGACACCCCACCCCCACTCCCCGGTCGTACGGCTTAGTACCACCCACGCCTAATTTTCCTAATTTTCGGCCAGGAAAAACCCTGGTAGTAGATGAACTCTGGTCACCCAGCCGTCTGCCCTAACATGCTTACAGCAAAGTGATTGCAACAGGAATTATTTTTATGTTAGATTTGTGAGATATAAAGGTATTTTTAAAAGTTTTTTAGCCAATAAGATTTGTTTGTTTTAACTTGCTGAAATGGTTCTAACACATGTTGTTTAGGATAAAATAGGATGGAGGAACAGCAGCACTCGGCTGATCGTCCTAACCACTGATGCAGGATTCCACATGGCCGGAGATGGAAAACTGGCTGGTATCCTGGAGCCCAATGATGAACAGTGCTACATGGAAAACAACCTTTACACCAAGGGTAGTGAGATGGTGAGTGTAGAATCACAGGAGGGAAGCCACTGTCAAATGGGTTGCAGTGCCATGTTATTATAACTTAAGGGAAAAGTCAATGACTGTTTATAAAGATGGACGACGTGTCTACGTGTCCTCCCTCTGTACAAGAGTGAGGGTGATCAGGGGTTGGAGCCCATACAACTGCTCAACCCAATCGCAAATCAATCACAGCTGTCAATCATAAGATCACACTACTTAACTAATTAAAACCAATTAAAAACAAACTCTTGAACATCAGCATGATATGAACTACAGACTCCATCTTCAGGCGCATGTTTCATCCACTAACATGGAGGGGGCGGGGTTTATGACCTTAACTGCAGCCAGGGGGAGATGGAGATGTTTTGGAAATCACTTTTTGGAGCTGTAATGTCACCTATCTTTAAACACAGTCACTGGGAAAAGGTTCTTCTCACTGCCTCCAAAAGGTTTTGTTGAAAAGCAGCCATGTGAGTTTGGTTCAGCGGTTATCAAGACATGTCACATGAACACTGGGTTTAACATCTGACTGCTGTGTGCAGGACTACCCGTCTGTCGGACAACTAGCTGTGCAGCTGGAAAAAAGTAATATCCAGCCGATATTTGCAGTGACAAAAAATGTGGAGTCTGTGTACAAGGTAAATAAAATGTACCTCTCATTTCTCTGTTTACGTATAGGACACATGGTGTATTTACTCTGACTTTTCATTTCACCTCATGTTTTATCCCAGAAACTCTCTAAAATGATTCCAAAATCAGAGGTGGGAGTTCTGACGTCAGATTCCAATAATGTTGTCCAGTTGATTGAAACTGCCTACAATGTAAGTTGTTGTCTGTCAGTGACACATTTAGCCTCTTTTCTCTTTTTGTGTATTTTTTAAACTGACCTTTTTCCTCATCATTTCTTTTGTCTTCTTCTTTGCTGTGTGATGCATGACAGCGGCTGTCCTCCAAAGTGACTTTGACCCATGACAATCTGCCTGACAATGTCAGAATTGTCTACACCCCAATATGTGATAAACCAGTAAAAGGACGGGACAGCGAAGGGGTTTGTGATGATGTGGTCGTGGGACACAAGGTCAGTTCAAGTTTCTTTAAGCTTTTCATTGTGATGTTCATGTATTCACACAGTTCTTCTTACATCGGTTTCAGTTTTATCTGTTTATATCATGCTCACCATGTCTACATTGTGGTTCTCATTAAAAAGTCATCCATCCATTGTCCATCCACATGCTGGTCCAATTCCTGGTGGCACTAGACTAAGCTAGCCCAGACATCCCTCTCCCTAGCCCCCTCCTCCAGCTCTTCCAAAGAGATGGTGTCTTAGCTCCTCCCCCTGTCAGCCATGTGAGGGAAACTCATTTCACCCACTTCAGCTGGAAACCTCATTCTTTCAGTCCCTTCTCAAGGCTCATGACTGTGAGTGAGACTTGGAAAGTAGATGGACAGGTAAATCAAGACTTTAGAGGCTCAGCTGCCGCTTTTTCACAACAGTCCTGTACAACAGCTTTAATGCTGAAGCAGCATCACTCTGGAGGTGTTTTTGCCTCTTACCGAGAGTCAGAAAGAAGACCCCAACATACTTAAACACTATCACTTTAGGTAGTAACTCACCCCCAAGGTGAATTGGTCCTTTCTGACGGGCCCAAATGGACAAATCTGACAGCAGCAGAACAGCAACATCTGCCACAAGCAGAGATGCACCTTGGCTTCCAGCTGGAGGTTTTGTCCAAGTGGCAGGGAGGGGGAAGCTGGAGTCTGGAGATGGTTGGGTTGTCTTGGTCCACATGTCTCTTCAATGTTGTGAGGCAGTTAAAGAAACTGTCTGTGCAGACCATGGTGGTGGTCCTCACTTTTTTTTAAAAGGGACTATAGGTTGTGCGTCTCCTGTGGAAAGATAAGGCCGGTCACTGGACGAGAGGATCCAGCTGACTGTCAGACCTCAGTGTCAGGAGGAAGTCCAGTGCACTGAATGTTAACACAAGACCGGATGTGAATATCTCAGTTTGATCTTTGGATGAAAATGTTTAGTTTTTTGTGTAGAATGTAAAAATGTAAAATTGTATGAAACCTGTGTCTGACTCCTCAACCCCAACTGCCCTCTCCAGATCTCTTTTAATGTCACCGTGACCGCAATCTCATGTTTGGAGAAGGACACATCTTTCACTATCAGACCCCTGGGCATAAAGGACACACTGACAGTGAGCTTATCTACAGAGTGTGAGTGTGAATGTATGAACCCCACTGACCAAGAACACAAACACTGCTCAGGGAAGGGAAGAGTCAACTGTGGTATTTGCAGGTAAGATTTACTGCCTGCCTGCCTGTCAGTGCACCACAAGATAGTCATTTCATAAAACAGTATTTGTTGGTTGTATTCATGCGTCAATGGGTATTTGGTGGCCTTATACTGCATGTGCATCTAAAATAAATTCTTATTCTAGCTTCCTCTAAGAAGCTCTGTCTCCACTGGGAACATGTCGGCTGTTCAGACCAGTAAAATGACCTGAGAGTAAACCTGTCTCTGTCAACAGCAAACAAATATGTCAATTATGATACTGAAGTTACATTTTTCTCAACAAGTAGTAGCCTATAAAAAATACTAATAATGAGGTTAGGAATATTATTAAATATTATTATTAACATTCCTAACCTCAATTCAAAGGTTGAATGGGGAATTGTTTCTTCTCTTGATCTCTTGAAATGATGAGGTCTATGTAGGGTTTCCCCTCAGAAATTGATGAAGTGGTAGCACCCAAATTTAAATGCCTTAAGATGTTCAAAATTGGCGTGTCAACACAGCATTTTCTGTCTTCTCAAGACATGGAAATTTAACATCTTAAGGCAGACGTCAAAATAGACATTTTGGACAAATCCGCGTTCCTTACCAGGGGTATGACCTGGAGAAGCTGAGAAAGGTTCAGCTTATGTAAAGTGTCCTATGATGCACAGGAGCAACATCTGGTCAACCAGTTGCACTTGTTTTAATTCTCTCAGGAAAAGTGTCTCCGCTGTTTACTGCTGCAGATCAACTATGTCAGAGAACCTCAACAATAGGGGAAATCAATCATGGTGGCCAATAGAAAGTAGGGCTGAACGATTTGCAAAAAAAACATACTGTAATTAATTCGTCAGATATTGTGATATGAGTCATGATTTCAGTGAGTGGTGATTTTTTATTTTCACTAAAAAAATATAAAATGATGATGGTGTGATTTTTGTTGGTCTTGTACCAAACAAACATGTTTCCTTTATATCTGGAGAATATGATCTGGAAACCGGGCCATCTCTGTTGCATAACAATGCTTCTGGACCTTTGACCTGTGATTGGGATATCGCTCTTGGCCATGTTTGGAAAGCTATTGTGGCACAGGCAGGGAGCGCACAGACGGGTTTCCAGGAAGACTTGTTCCTGGATCACGCAGGACAGGCAGCCACGTACTTAGTCACCTCCTTCCTATTTGATGGCCCCAAAACGTCTGCCGAATCACAAAGAGGGTTCAGCTGGATGTCAGGATGACAGGACAAGAGAGATGCGTGGGCCCAGTGAATGATCTGAGAGTGAGGATCAGGGGGAACAAACAGCTTCCAGAACCTGATAACCCTGATTAGCGTCCTGCACTTTATGTTCAATTTCCCAGGTAACAGCTCCAACAAAACTCAATGGGGATAGAATGGGAGTGCTGACCTTTGGTTCAGAATCAGAGGAAAACAGTCTTGATAAAGCATCACGCTCAACATTTTTAGAACCAAGATGATAGGAGAGATTAAAGTTGAATCTATCAAAGAATAGTTTCCACCTGGCCTGTCTGGCGTTCCGTCCCTTAGCTGACCTCAGGTACTACAGATTCTTATGATCCGTCCACACCAAAAAAGGTTGCTTCACCCCCCCTAGTCAGTGTCTCCACTCCTCTAGAGCAACCTTGATGGCCAACAACTCATGATTGCCAACATCATAATTTCTCTCAGCAGGGGACATTTTTCTGGACAGAAAGGTGCAGGGATGTAATTTATTGTCTTTTACTGACCTCCGGGCCAAGATGGTTCTAATCCGAAGATCTGAGGCATCAACCTCCACCACAAACTGGCGAGAGGGGTCTGGCAAGTTTCAGCTTCTGGGAAGCAGTCTCAGCCTGTGGACTCCAGGAGAACTGAGACTTGGAGGATGTTTAAGCCAGCAAAGGGGCAGAAATGGAACTGAAATGATTAATGAACTTTATATAAAAGTTTGCAAACCCCAGGACGCATTGGACCTCCTTCCTGTTGGAAGGGGTCAGCCAGTTAGTGACAGCGCTAACCTTCTCTGGATCCATCCTCTGGATCCATCGTCACAGCAACAATAAATCCCAGGAATGAAACTGTGGAGACATGGAACTCACATTTCTCTGCCTTGATGTACAGCTGTTGGTTCAAGAGCCCTTGCAGGACCTGTCTAATGTGTTGCAGGACCTGTCTAATGTGTTGCAGGACCTGTCTAATGTGTACATAATTCACTAGAACCTTGAACACAGCTGGAGCATAGTCCAAATGGCATGACAAGGTACTCACAGTGACCACTAGGAGTGTTAAATGCGGGCTTCCATTCATCCCCCTCCTTTATCCTAACTAGGTGATAGGCATTACGTAGAGATTTTTGAATACCTTACAACCCTTCAAAAGTTTGAAGCCAGAGGAAATTAAAGGGAGGGGGTACCTGATTTTAAATGGTGATGTCATCAAGGCCTCTGTAGTCATTAAGGCCTCTGTAGTCAATGCAGGGTCTTAGGGTCTTGTCTTTCTTGTGCACAAAGAAGAAACCAGCATCAGCTGGGGAGGAGGATGGGCAGTTGATTCCTGCTGCCAATGCTGAGTCGATATAATCTTTCATTGCTTGCGTCTCGGGGCCAGAAAGGAAGCACAGACTCCCTTTGGGAGAAGTGCCACGCAGCAAATCTATGACACAGTCATATGGGCATTGAGGAAGAAGGGAGGTGGCCTTGGACTGGTTGAAAACCTCCTTAAGATCCATGTAACAGTAGTGCACATTGGAGAGATCTGGGAAGTCAGCCTCAGAGGCAGGAGGTTCAGGGGAACCTATAACATGAGCGGAGTTAGCAGGAGAAACTGGCTCAATAGGGGAAGTAGCAGGTAACACAGAGTCTGATCTTATCAGGGAAACAGCGATGTTTGCAATCTGCTCCCCAAACCTTGACTTTGCCTGTGGACCAGTCTATGTGTGGGTTATGGTCAATGAGCCAAGGATAACTCAGAATCAGGGAATGTAGGGGGGCCTGATAAAGATGAAAACAGAGCTCTTCTGCGTGAGAGTCAGTGAAGGTGAGTATAACTGGAGGTGTGTGGTAAATGACTTTACAGAGTAAGCGACATCCAGAGTGCTGGCATCAATGGGCTTAGGCAGAGGCAGAGAGGGCAGCTTTAATTCTCTAGCCAACTTGTAATCCATGAAGTTAGGATCAGCTCCGGAATCCACAAGGACTGGGTGGCTTTGAGATAGAGAGGAGGATGTAAGAGACACCATGGGAAGCAAACAGGCTGACCGAGTTCAATGATGTTCTGCTCATCAGTTTGCTCTGATTCCCAGATGCGCCCTTCGTCTTCACTGGACAGCTGATTAGGGAATGTCCAAGCTGAGCGCAGTAGATGCCTCCTAACTGCCTTCATCCATGCGTTGTTGATCTCCTCAGGGGAAATCCTTGTTCTCCCAATCTGCGTGGGTTCCTCAGAGGATGTAGAGAGAGGAGAGTCCCCAGGAGACAGATACTACCTGATTGTTGTTTCCACTGGGAAAGCAACAAGCCTTTTCACGTTCAAATAGTCTTTTTATCAATTTTGGAGGCTAAAGCAATTAGGGGGTGGAGTTCAGTGGGCAGGTCCAGGGGGGCCAGATGGTTTTTTTACAGTATCTGATAATCTATTGAGGAAAGCATCGGACAGGGCAGATTCATTCCAGCTACTTTCAGCTGCCAAACTACGAAACACAATGGCATAATCAGTAACACATCACAGCAATGAGGGACCTGGCACTTCCCGACCTGGTGACGTCACTTGGAAAATCTGGAAGAAAGTCTTTATGAACTGTTGCAGTGAATTACAGATTGCTGATCTCCTGTTCCATTCAGCTGTGGCCCAAGCCTCAGCTCTACCAGACAGGTGGGAAATAATGTAGGCAATCTTGGAACGATCAATGGGAAATGAGGAAGCTTGAAATTCAAAATGTAACTCACACTGCTTAAGGAATGCTCTGCAGTCACCTGAGTCACCGGAGAAATGCTCTGGTTTAGACAGAGGTCACTGGAAACAGAAAGTGTTTGGAGCCTCTGCATTTGCTCAAAACCAAAAGCAGACAAAAGATTCCCTTGCTGCTCAGCCATCTCTCTCATTTCATGTCTGAGAACTGCTCCTCCTGGAAATGTGTTCTCTGTCCTTGGGCTTGCAGAGCTTTGCAAAGTGTTTCCAGGTCTGCAGAGTCCATAGTATGGCCAGATCTTGTTATCAGGCACAAACTAATAATGGACCCACAAAGCAGACTGCAGGCAGGAACAAGTTCAAGGGTTTTAATCAGTCACAGGTCGGTACAAAGATAATCAGTCAAACAGGTAAAGGTATCCAAATCGGCAGGCAAAAGGTAGATAATAAACAAAAACAAAGGTTGAAGCACATTAGGAACACTATCTGAAAAGGCTGGAACTCTCACACTAAGGCAAAGAAGATCTGGCACAGAAGGAAGGGAAGACACAGACTAAATACACTAGGAGAGGGAAGACAATGAGACATAGGTGCAACACATTAGGGCGGGGGAGGCAATCACACAGGTGGAACATTGACAGGAAGTAGATCTGAAACAGGACGAGGTAAATGACCAAAATAAAACAGGAAACATGAATATTGAAAATAAAAGAACATGACCTTATGTGGCAGGACAGAGTGTGACAACAAACCAATAAACCAACAAACCGACAAACCAATAAACCAAGAAAACCAATAAACCTATGAACCAAGAAAACCAATGAACCAACAAAGAAACCAATGAACAAACAAACCAATGAACTGACAAACCAACGGACAAACAAACCAATGAACTGACAAACCAACAAACAAATGAACCAACAAACTAATAAACCAACAAACCAAGAAAACCAATGAACTGACAAACCAACGAACAAACAAATCAATGAACTGATAAAACAACAAATAAATGAACCAACAAATCAATGAACTAACAAACCAATGGACTGACCAACCAATGAACCAACAAACCATCAACCAACAAACCAAGGAACCAACCACAGACAAACCAACAAACCAGTGAACTGACAAACCAATGAACTAACAAACCAATGAACAAACAAACCAATGAACTGACAAACTAATGAACGAATAATTCAATGAACTGATAAACCAACAAACCAACGCACAAACAAACCAATGAACCAATGAACCAACAAACTGACAAACCAACAAAACAAAAAACCGACAAAACAATGAACCAACAAAACAACAAACCAACAAACAAACCAATGAACCAGCAAACCAAGAAAACCAGAAAACCGATGAACCAACAAACCAGTGAACCAACAAACCAACAAACTAACAAACCAACAAACCAATGAACTGACAAACCAATGAACCAACAGACCATCAAACTATCAACCAAGAAAATTAATGAACCAACAAACCAATGAGCCAATAAACCAACAAACATAGAAACCAATGAACAAAGAAACCAATGAACTGACAAACCAACGAACAAAGAAACCAATGAATTGACAAACCAACAAACCAAGAAAACCAACAAACCAACAAACCATTGAACTAACAAACCAATGAACCAACAAACAAACAAACCAAATAATTGACAAACCAACAAACCAAGAAAACCAACAAACCAACAAACCATTGAACTAACAAACCAATGAACCAACAAACAAACAAACCAAATAATTGACAAACCAACAAACAAATGAACCAACAAACCAATAAACCAATGAACTGACAAAACAAGAAAACCAACACACCAACAAACCATTGAACTGACAAACCAATGGACTGACAAACCAATGAACCAACAAACCAATGAATCAACAAACCATCGACCAAGAAAGCCAACAAATCAATGAACCAAGGAACCAACAAACCATCAACCAAGAAAACCAACGAACCAATGAACCAACAGACAAAGAAACCAATGAACTGACAAACAAACAAACCATCAAACTATGAACCAAGAAAACAAATGAACCAAAAAACCAACACACCAACAAACCATTGAACTGACAAACCAATGACCTAACAAACCAATGAACTGACAAACCAACAAACCAAGAAAACCAACAAACCAACAAACCATTGAACTAACAAACCAATGAACCAACAAACAAACAAACCAAATAATTGACAAACCAACAAACCAATAAACCAATGAACTGACAAAACAAGAAAACCAACACACCAACAAACCATTGAACTGACAAACCAATGAACTGACAAACCAACGAAGCAAGAAACAAACAAACCAATGAACCAACAAACCATCAACCAAGAAACAAACAAACCAATGAACCAACAAACCATATACCAAGAAACCAACTAACCAACAAACCAATGAACTGACAAACCAACCAATGAACTAATGAATAAACCAGTGAACTGACAAACCAATGAACTGATAAACCAACAAATAAATGAACCAACAAACCAACAAATCAATAAACCCATATACCAACGAACCGATAAACCAACAAACCAAGAAAACCAATGAACCAACAAACCAACCACAGACAAATGAACAAACCAGTGAACTGACAAACCAACAAACCAACGAACAAACAAACCAATGACCTGACAAACCAATGAACTGACAAACCAATGAACAAACAAATCAACAAACCATCAACCAAGAAAATCAATGAACCAACCATCCAACAAACTGACGAAATGACAAAACAACAAACCAAGGAAACAACAAACAAACAAACCAATGAACCAACAAACCAAGGAAACCAGAAAACCGATGAAACGACAAACCAATTAACCAACAAACCATCAAACTACCAACCAAGAAAACCAATGAACCAACAAACCAATGAACCAATGAATCAATAAACCAACGAACCAAGAAAACCGACAAACCAATGAACAGACAAAACAACGAACCAACAAACCAACGAACCAGCAAACAAACAAACCAATGAAACAACAAACCATCAAACCGTCAATACAAGAAAACCAACAAACCAATGAACCAACAAACCAAAGCAAATGTAAACTTGCAAAATAAATGTAAACAAATGTGTGAAGTGTGATTTCAGCATTTTGGTAAATATGCTTTATTTGTTTTCTTTGTTTTCTTTACTGGTATCAGTCTCATTTCTTCATTTATGCACCTGGAGTCAGGAAGTAGTTAGCCTAGCTTTGCACAGAGACTGGAAGCAGGGGAAGCTAGCCAGATTTTTTAAGATTACTGAAAAAATGAAGAAGGTGACATATAAGAAAATTAGGAAATGTCTCTTGTAGAGGGAGGGATGCTCTTCACTCTTTTACAAATTGTAGGTTTAATGGCCCTCTCTAACCTGTCCTCATTCAGCTGCAAGGAAGGCTTCGTTGGTCAGTTATGCGAGTGTGCCATTGGCGACAAAGACGAGCGCTCCCTCCGGGCATCCTGTCAGAGGCAGAATGGCACCGAGTGTGAGGGTCGAGGAGACTGTGTGTGTGGCAGGTGCCAGTGCCACAGGACAGAGAGTGGAACCAGTTACCATGGTGACTTCTGCGAGTGTGATGATGAACACTGTGAGAAGTTCCAGAATAAACTGTGTGGAGGTAGAGTTTCAGTCATTTGCTAATTATCTGCATTGTAAAGTCTTTTTTACATCAACATTTAAGTGATACAAATATTTCTCACCAAAACACATGAAATATGGGTTGAATTAATTTTCTACCTCAGAAACACATCTTTTATATTTTGAAACCTTGTTCAAATTCATGGTTGCTAGCTGAAGGGAAGAGGTCTCATATTTGTTTCTGGTTGTAGAGGAGTCCCTGGTGAGCAGGGGTGTAACGATTCAACAAATCCATTTTTTCAGACAGTGCTGCAAAAATGTCACCATAATCTTTTATTACTGGTCATTTAAATTAAAATGTTTTTAAATGATAAAGAGACATATCCTATTTAACAACATTTAATTCGGGTGATGCATTTATAAGGGTGTGGAGAGAAATGATGAGTAGACCATGTCAACAGGAGCAGATGAATAATTTTTTGACATTGAAGGAAACTAAATCACTGCAGCCATTGAGCCTAAAGGCAAATATGAAACATACAATTCACAGAATTAGACTATTGCTATTAAAATATGAATAAACCATTTACAATACATTAAATTGAAGTGAACTGACCTGCTGCAGCCCAGCCAAAAATCAACCCTCCTCCATGGACTTAGTCTGGGTGTCTGCTTGAGTGTAATCACACACATCGAGCCAGACTGCTGCAGAGGTGCCTGTCATCAGGTTACTCATCTTTGCCTCAGACTGCAGGTGGTCTACCCGGTGGCCTCAGTGTTCCGTTAAAATGATGGACGGCTTCAGATTTTTCTGTCATTGTTAAAAAAGTTTGTCAGTGACAGAAAACATTCATTTAATGTGATCCCTGAATGTGATACAAGATTATGGATGTTTCTATCAAAGTTTCAGTCCTGCTGTCAGAATCATTACACACTTACTGACTCGACACCCCAAGGCAACCAGGACAGCCCCAGTATTTGTCTTAACACAAATACATGACATAAACAAACATTTTGATTAGGAACCTTACATGTTAAAGAGTTGTGACCAGGATGAAGTCTCAGCTCTCTCTGGTGGAGACACTGTTTCCAAATAACCTCCAACATTTCGTCATAACATCTCCTCTTCCTTACTGCCTGAAATGTGCACCGTCACTAATACATGTCAGCTCATATCCAATAATAATCAGTCAGTCAGTCACCAGGAATCTCCCTCACTCAGCCACCAGGGGCACAACAGGTGTGTTTTGGCCGATACAGATCTGTGCAGGTGCGTTTGTCATGATATAATTCATATACTAGAAATATATTACAGGTTTCAGGTGTGATGGGTTTTTAAGCTCCTTCCAGGTCACAGATGATTCCTTTCAAAGTGACCACTGTCTCCCACACCCCTGAGCCTCTTGTGAGGGGTTTGCTGCTTTTCATAGACAATGAGTCGAAGGTTTATGGATAGAGACAGAGTTCAAAGAATTGATCTGTGACCTGGAGGAGGTGGAAACACAGCAGGTATGTACCAGGATGCACAGGCATGTATTTAAAGGCAGGTATCTCCCCTCTCTGTTCTTCTCAACCTGCAGGAAAAGGTAAGTGCAACTGTGGCACCTGTGAATGTCAACCTGGCTACGAGGGCTCAGCCTGTCAGTGCAAGGTGACTGTGGAGAGCTGTCGCACAACCAACAACACCGTGTGCTTCGGCAGAGGAGCCTGTAAGTGCAACCGCTGTGAGTGTAAGGAGGGATACCAGCGCCCGCACTGCCAGAAGTGTCTTTCGTGTCCTCACTCATGCCAGACCAAACTGTAAGGACTCAACATTAATTCTCAAATTATTATGAAAGGGTTGGTTCAACAAATTACAACAAAAAGACTCTCTGGTGTCTGGTCACTTATGTTAAGATCTTCAGTCATGAACTGTTTCTATTCATCTTGTTTTCAGGAACTGCATTGAATGCCTGGCTTTTGACTCAGGTCCCTTTAAAAAGAACTGTAGCATGGCTTGCAGCAAGAGCATTTATTACCAGATGGTGGAGCAATTCAGCATATCAAGCAAGGAGTGCCATCTGAAGGACTCTGAGGGCTGCTGGATCACGTTTAAGCTGGAGCAGCTGGTCGGAGAGGACAACTTCCTGGCTCAAGTGAAGCAGAGAGGTCAGCTGACACACACTCTTCACAGCTGACACACTGCTCTGGGCATGTTTCTGTGGCTCTGCTCTTTACAAATATTAGTCTGCTAGCAGGTGAAGGTTGAAACTGAGTGAAAAGAGCTGAAGTATCGGAGCAACAGCCATGATCACAGGTGCTCCACTTTGCTAAATGATGAGGAAAGGAGCTTCAATGCTTCATATCCTATCTCCTTTCGCAGAGGACATGTTGTTTCACTAAATCCCCTCCTGTCAAAAGTGTTTATGTCATCAAACTATATACTTATGTCTGAATATTATTTATTCTGATCTCTTGCTCAGTTCCTTATTTCTATTTAATTATTATTTTAATGGCTCAACTTTCTCTACATGTATATTTTATATCTTTATCTTATATCAACATTTCAGTCCTGTTTTGTGTTAGTGGTTAGGAAAGGAGGATTTATCATCCATGTGTTATAAATAAAGTTAGTTAAAGAAAAAAAATCATAGTGGAAGTGCAGTCAGATTATTTTCCTAAGTCCTGATGATCTCTCCTTCACATCTTTCCTTGACCTCATGACATCTTCCATCACGGTCGAGAAATGGTTAGAGAGGAGGTTATTTAGACTTTTCTACCTCAGCCTTCATCTGTGCTGATGCCGTCTTAATTTCTATGTCACATGATACAGGAGGCACAGAAAAATAAAACTATCATTTTCAAGTCATGCGAGCAAAGCAGTCAATGGGCGGCAACAATCATAGTCACGTAATGTGATCATCATTTCCAGTGAGTTCACAATGGCAGTGTTTGATTTAAAACACTACCCCAGAATTCACACACTACACTAGTGAGTGCACTGTGTATACAGTGTACTACATTTGAGTGTCACAATGGAAGTATATGTGAGTTGAGACACAGTACATGTTTACCATCTTCACACATGCTAACATCTGAACCAATAGTTGTTGGGCTGACAGACTGACCAACACATTTGTGTGTAAAAGCTTTGTGATTTCTAACTCCTCCTACAGACTGTCCAGAACCACCCAGCGTTGTAGCGATCATCGCAGGCTCAGTAGCGGGTGTGGCTCTCATTGGCATCCTGCTGCTGTTGCTCTTCAAGTTACTGATCTACATGAATGACCTGAAAGAGTTCAAGAAGTTTGAAAGTGAAAAGAAGAAATCCAAGTGGGCAAACGTGAGACACTTTCTCATTCATTATTACTGCTAACAAAACTCTAAACTAGAACTAACAAACATTTTAGGAAGTGGAGCTTTATGATGATATTGTTTAGCTCCTCTGTTGTTGTGGTTCAGTGTAGTGATTCAGGTTTGAATGAAAGGCTATGTTACAGAGCATCCTGCAGTGCAGCAGCAGTTCAGCGAGCTGTATTGCAGGACATGCTGTTGATATAGCATCATGAGTAGACTGGTGCTGGAGACCAAGGTTCACATCTTTTTATGTCTAATGTAGATTTTACAAAGAAAGGTCAATTGCTTTTACATTCCCAAGTCATGCAACAGTATAACAAGCTGACACAGCAACCAATCAGAACACGCCCCCACCAAAACAAACTTCCATCCTACTCATCTGATGTCATTTAAATGAGCCTTGCACTGCGCACAATCCAGTAATTAAACTGGCTCAGGTGACATGGAGCAGGTCTCTGGGCTGCCATGGCAGTCACCGCTAACTTCATGAACAATAACACTGCAAACGTTACTGAATGTAGACATGACAATACTGATCCACAAGAAGCATCTTCTGAAACCCAGCTCCTCTGGGAGCTCTCACAGTGATGTGAGTGCATCGGGGAACAGGTTCAGTTTTCTCTCTTCTGAAATCTGTGTAATGTGTCTAAAAGGCATTTCAGCACTGAGCTCATCCTGCACTTATGTAGAAATGAAGTTAACTGCTCAGACTAAATAAATCACTGCACATGATAAAAAAAAATGACCACAAATGATTACATTGACTTATTGAGTTGATTTGTTCACAACTGTAGCTACATGCATACAGCTACATTCACAACCACAGCTACAGTCACAACGACAGCTACAGTCACGACCCCAGCTACAGTCATAGTTACAGTCACAACCACAACTACAGTTACAGCTACAGTTACAACCACTGCTACAATCACAGCCACAGCTACAGTCACAATCAGAGCTACACTCACAACCACAGCTACAGTCACACCCACAGCTACAGTCACAATCAGAGCTACACTCACAACCACAGCTACAGTCACACCCACAGCTACAGTCATAGCTACACTCACAACCACAGCTACAGCTACAGTCACAAGCAGAGCTACATTCACAACCGCAGCTAGTCACACCCACATCTACAGTAACACTCACAGCTACAATATAACCACATGTACTCACATCTACAGTCACACTCACGGCTACAGTCATTACCAGAGCTACAGTCACACTCACAGCTACAGTCACAATCAGAGCTACACTCACAACCACAGCTACAGTCACACCCACAGCTACAGTCATAGCTACACTCACAACCACAGCTACAGCTACAGTCACAAGCAGAGCTACATTCACAACCGCAGCTAGTCACACCCACATCTACAGTAACACTCACAGCTACAATATAACCACATGTACTCACATCTACAGTCACACTCACGGCTACAGTCATTACCAGAGCTACAGTCACACTCACAGCTACAGTCACAATCAGAGCCCCATTCACAGCCACAGCTAGTCACACCCACATCTACAGTCATGCTCACAGCTACAATATAACCACAGCTACAGTCACATGCACATCTACAGTCCTACTCACAGCTACAGTCACACTCAGAGTTACAGTCATAACCACAGCTACAGTCACACACAGCTACAGTCATAACCACAGCTACAGTCACACTCACAGCTACAGCCACAATCAGAGCTACATTCACAACCGCAGCTACAGTCACACCCACATCTACAATATAACCACATCTACAGTCAAACTCACAGCTACAGTCATAACCACAGCTACAGTCATAACCACAGCTACAATATAACCACATCTACAGTCACACTCACAGCTACAATATAACCACAGCTACAGTCACACGCACATCTACAGTCCTATTCACAGCTACAGTCACACTCAGAGTTACAGTCATAACCACAGCTACAGTCATTACCAGAGCTACAGTCATAACCACAGCTACAGTCACACTCACAGCTGGTCTCCATCAGCCAGTGCAGCAGCCGCTCAGGACTGTTAACCAGAGTTCCACTCGTGCTGTCTTGCTGACTATTCAGTGCCTCTGGACAACACTGTACCACTACATCTGCTCCAAGGATTTTGCTCCCAACTGTTGATTTGAGCAAAACCAAATTTATATCCTCTAATGACTTCAAAGTTAAATTGGAACAGATCCTGAAGGAGAAACATTAGAAACACATGAGCTATTAATCAATTGATAGACATATCAGGAATTGTACAACCTAACATTAATTGAAACAATGAGGGTCTCCAGGCAGTGGTTATTACTTTATCTAGTACTTTAGTATTTGAGTTCATGTTGTGCTCATTTGGAACATATTAGTGATAAAGATAAATGTTGTGTAATGAAATGATTACAAACTCATTTGACTGGAGGAGCTGCAGGTACTGATGACATGATACATTCAGTCAGTGAGGAGACAGTAAAGGCTGTTTTATCTATCTATCATCTATATATTCATTTGAAACACCCCAGTGTTTATCATCAGCTCTCAGGTAGTGTCCACTCAGCAGCAGTCTATCATATATCATATACAGTATATCATGTTTTGCACAGTGTTGCACATTAAAAGCCTCACAGCTCCTTCAGTCTGCAGGATTATTAGTTTCAGTGGCAGTAGCTTCACACTGGCACAAGTTATTGGAATTAATGAGTGATTGAGAAATTGGAGTTGTACTGGTGGAATCAGAGCTGTGGAAATATATATTGTTCTCAGGTTACTCTTTGTATTTGTGTATTATATTACAATTGGTTCAGCCTTTAAGCCACTATTATTTGAGACTGCTGTCACCATAATTCCAGTTTTATTAGAGGATGTTCAGTCGTCTCTCTGCACTGTGGAGATGAACACACCTCCTGAGACACTGTCTGTGGTTTTGTCTTTCCTTTGTTCCACACATGTGAAATGTTGAAAACAAACAAATCATTGTTTTTTTTCTGTTCCCAGGCCGACAACCCACTGTTCCAGGATGCTACCACCACCGTGTCCAACCCCATGTTCACTGGAGAGTGAGGACCTCGACTGCAGCAAACACAGCTCTGCTGTATCTGAACTAGAGAAAAATAATTTTAAAGCTCATGTGATATTTCATTTCAAATATCCATTGCTGGCATTAATGATTATTCTCTTCTATACATGACTGCAGTTCTTTGTCCAAAAATTATGCATTCTTTTTCATTGCTTATAAGACTTACACATGAAATGTACTGTAATGTCGCACAGCTTATGATATACACAGTAAGAGAGTTTATAGTGGTGCAGCATGTACAGGATAGGAAGAATATAATGATGTATAATAATCATATCCTAGATGTATCATCGATACTTTTTGCTCCTGTTTCTATTCACTGTTGCAAATTAAAAGCCTCATTTCATTGACAGTAGTTTCCCTCTTCATATGATTGACAGCAGTATTTCTGTAAAAATAAAATGATAGAGTTGTACTGATGGAATCAGAGCTATGGAAATATACATGATTTTCAGGTCATACTTTAAAATGACTCAAAATTCTCTAAATATTAAACATCAGATTTCCTCCCACATTTCATCTGAAACTATTATGTGTCATTTTCACTTTAATTTTTTCTTTCATGTCCAGACTGCTGTCAGAGGGTTCATGTTGTGATACCCTCTTACCTTGTCAGTCAGGTACAATAAACAGCTTCTCTAGTTCAGGTGCAACCTCACTTTTTGTGTCCAAGGATAATGTATACAAAGCATATGTAGAGGAAGGTCCCCCTTGTTTCCAGGCCCAGGCCCTTTACCTGTGCACATCTATGAACCAGATGCTTTTATCAGCACACATTCTGAGCAACTCCACTGTGTTATTATGGGATGCATCCACTAAACACAGCTAAAGCTAGCTGAAGCTAACCTGAGTTTACCACAACACTGTAGTAAAACCATCTGACACCTCAGAACGCAGAAACAACCACAGAGAGTGTCCACTGACACTGACATTCATCAGTATCATCACAGCTCTGCGTGGTTTTCAAACACTGTTTATTAATCTGTTCCTACAGATTCTCATCTAAACATTTTTTTCTACCATGTGACCCATGGGGGCCTCCGTCCTGCAGCCTGGTCTTGGTCTGCGCGGTGCTTTCAGAGGTCATAGTTTACTCAGTGTCAGTGTGAACTCTGACTCAGGGGCCGTCCTCTGCTCACCACGACTACACCAGCTATTTGTCAGAAACTTCAAACTGGGTCTGTGACATTGGGTGGTTGTGTAGATAATCACTGTCGTCTCCAAGCAAAGGTGGAGTATCGCCATGTAGTGACGTGGTCACAGTCCATCGTCTGTACGGAGTTCAGCTGAGTCAAACATCATCAGAGATGGCCTGAAGGAAACAACCAGGGGGTCCACACTTAACACTAACTTCAGGTCACACTCAGTCGATGTGGAGTCAAACCTGCACATAATGTATGGAGCAAACTGAGTGATGGTCATGTCAACTCCAAACACTGATGTCCAGGAAGCATCTACAGGAAGTTACTGTGGTCACCTTGGAAATGGTGAATGTTTATGGTATGCATAAATTATAAAGAAAGTAAAGAGCAAAGCTCTGTCTAAACTGACTCAGCATCTGTTCTCAGTCTGGACTCATGATGCGCTAAGATGATAAATAGAGAAGAGCACCACCCCTCCCCTCCTGACAGCAAGTCTGATGAAGGTGTGTCTCATTGATTCTTCACTCTCAGGTCTTGAACTCACCGAGTTATCTTGATCTGACTGTTACTGATTGACAGACCGGATCAGCTGGTTCTACACTGGTGAAGTCCTGCAGCTCAAACCTCCACTGTGCTGCCCTCTGTCACAACACGGTAACCAACAGAAAAATGACGAGTCACATCCTGTCATTTTCACAATAAAGTACCTGAACATGATAAACTATATGTGGTATTATGACGACTGGGAACAAATGTGAAGCGGATTCTGACTGAGCTGATGAAACAGTGCTAGTGTGGAGGTAAACATGGGGACCAGTCCAGCTCCAATGGTCAAGTCTCCTTCGTGATGACATCATAACATTGTCATATGATCAGCCAATCATCATGTTGCTTTTATTTCAAAATAAGGGCACAAGTATTGAAGACAAAAAATCTGAGGTTGTGTGTTCACCATGTGTGTTCGCCGTGTGTTACCCGTGTGTGTTCACCGTGTGACAAAAGTTAACAAACAACCAACACAAGCTCAGAAGGTTTCTGAAAAACAGAGTGCTTTAATTTTCATTATTGAAGAGGAGAACTACAGCAGTCACTCACTGTCATCGAGCAGAAACGCATGTTAAGGTCTGTGTGTGTGTGTGTGTGTGTGTGTGTGTGTGTGTGTGTGTGTGTGTGTGTGTATGTGTATGTGTGTGTGTGTGTGTGTGTGTGTGTGTGTGTGTGTGTGTGTGTGTGTGTACCACTGTATACACACACCCTTGTGGTGTACAGTCCTCTGCAGCAGCTGCAAGCTGATGAAATATTTTATACATCTCAGACAAAATGTCTTCATTCTGCTGTTGGATCAGAATCCACATGAGTCACTGGCAATCAGCCAGTCACATGTCAGAGTTAACATTTTCTAAAATGCAGTAAGTCCATGACATATGAAGCTGGGCTCAGATTACAGCATCTTCAGCTCTTCACTGAATCTGGTTTCTGATCATAAGAAGAAAAAGGAACAAACTTCATTTGATAAAGTCGATGATGTATCTGACACTCATCTATGAGAGGATGCTGGTGGAGCCTTCACAGTCTGTCACCTGCTGTAATCTGAGCCCATGTCAGGACACAGTCATACACACTCAGCTCCAGACTGTTGATGATTATTGATCTAACCTGCAGGTGGGGTGCAGGTGGGGGCCCAGAGCACAGTAAGACAGGGGAAACTAAAGATCAGCTCTAAGTGCAGCAGAAACCTTCAACTGGTCAGAACTAATTCACAGCGGGGGAGCGACAAGGTGGGGGGAGTGGGGGATGGGGTGGGGGTGTTCTCACGCCGCTACATCTGCTGGGTGGAGTTCCCATTCCAGGTGTTGTTGTCATCCTCACTGTCCTCCTGAGTCCTAAGCCTGCAGATTTTACCCTCCTTCTTGAAGTGTTTGGGCCGCTTCTCCACAGTGGACTTGGAGAGTGTTTCTCTGAGAGGACACACAGTCAGTCAGTTAATGTACACAGTCTGATCCTGGTGCAGGAGTCTACAGGTAGACCTGAGCTGTGAGTCCAGAGACCAGCAGCATGACTGAACACCAAGCTGATCAATATTATTACAACTAACTGTCACACTACATTATCAATCTAAACTCTACAGCCAACATGAGCTTCTGGTCGCACCACACCGGGGGAGACTACACAGCCCCACTGGATCCACCTGAACAAGTGTGTATTTTACAAGATGACTCTTTAGCATTTAGCTTTAAGGCTTTTAGGCTCCCATCACACACAGGCTACAGACTGTGTAAAGAATTCAACACAAAGTCAGTGGGAAACAGTCCACGTGAGTCCTGGAATGGTCTGCTCTGGTCTGGTCTTGACCGGTCTGGACTGGCTCAGTGATATAGAGTTGACCAGTGATGACAGAAAGAAAAAAAAGTTTTACTATTATCGCTGCTCTTATCACCTTTAACTGTGATCTAGCATGTGAAGTCATGGTCGGACCTGGTATTAAAATGTGTCTCCAGTGACCACATGTGATCGGATCACCTGAGATGGATATCAATACCAGGTGTGAACAGGGTCATAGATGTCAGGTGGATGGTGGTGGAGGTGCGGTCCGACACAGCCCTCATTGTGTTGTAGGTGTTGTAGTCTGGTTGAGATAGTGGTGGAGGTGTGGCCTGTGCTGTGTGGTGCTCTGGCTAAGGTGGAGCAGTGACTGTTCCTCACCTCTTTGTCTTGTCTGAAGCTGATGAGGAGGAGGAGGAGGAGGAGGTGGTGTAGGAGGAGCTGGACTGCTGGGTGGGGCCTGGGGATGCTGCTCCAGGAGGAGGCGGGGCTGGAAATAGGAAGGAGCTGAGGAACCTCCACACAGCCAGCAGAGGGTAGAGGAGTGTGCCCAGAATGGCCCAGATACCCCCCCCAGAGGACTGGACCACTGTGTTAGCAGGCCTGCCTGAACGCTGAGGGAGAACAGAACCAGTAATACTGATGTGAGCAGGTACTGGTCTATCTGTATTCAGGTTCAACACATGAAGGTGGACTGGACTCTGGTCTACTCACCGGCAAAAGCACAATGGAAGCACTTGGAGCCAGTTCCAGCTCCTGCAGAGTCTTGTTCATGTCTTCACTGTTGAACTCTCGCCGAGGGAACATGGTTGCCAGGGAGAAGTTCCCATAGCGGTTTCCCACTTCCTGAGACAGGACCAGCATAAAATCTTTAACAGAGGTTCAACGTGAATGGACTTAGAGTCACACCAGCTGGACTTCAGTCTACCATCACTTCATTCAGGGACTCTGAATTCAGAGACTCTGAATGAAATGGAATCAGCTACAGCTGTCTTTCATCATCATCATTATCATCATCATCATCATAATCATGAAACAGCTCTCTGAAGACCAGACAAAGGATTCAGTTCCATCAGTCACAGTTCATTTTGTTTTGTTACAGAGAAACTAACAGGTCCACCGTGATCCTGATTCTGTTCCAGGTTTCTAACTGTTACTCCACTGTCACCAGGTGTTTGCAGGACTGTTGGTCTCTGTAATAATATGATGGAGACACAGTGTAGCTCTTCTCTACATGTACTGAGCTCTGAGATAAATACGATTGACCTGACTTGAGCAATATTCAAAAATCAATATCTATTGTTTTAGTCAAAATTGGTTCTTCACAGCTTCATCATGTTTGGTTGAAACTCAGTAACTCATGTCTGTTTCTCCTCTGAGCTGCTAATTCAATATTCTCCGGTTTGTGTGGAATCAAAGTATCAATATATGATCACATCAGATTATTTGTTTATAAACTGTTGTCACAATCAATGATCTCTGAACTAATAAACCACAGATTAGAACCTGGTTTCACAACAAGGTTGAAACACCTGCAGGAGTCTAACAACTGGATATGTGGTTGTGCGTCTGTTTGTGTCTCTGTGTTTATGTGTGTGTCTGTGCTAACACCTGTCATGACACCAGTATGCTGTTTACAGTGATGTCACTGAGCCAACGATCAGCTGTAGATGTTTCCTTCAGCCTACTGTCCAGCTTCATCAAATACACAGAGGCCGAGCACCAAACTGCAAGTCCCATCATGCACCCAACAAAACGTGGCTGAATGTGACAGATGCAGGATTAGTGACCTGGGATCAGCTCTATGAGCAAAGGGTCTGTGTTTAACATGAAGCTTTCTGTCTGCTGATGGTGAATCAAGGCTTTGTGGGAAAGATGATGTAACAGAAGATCCGAGACGTGTGGAGGAGCAAGGTGACACAGACCTGAACAGCAAAGAGCCGAGCCTCCTGCAGTCTGCTCTGTGCAGGGAACTGGTTGGTGAAAGACGAGCCATCTGGGAGGCGGAACTGGATCCTCGCTACGGTGCTGATGTCACACACACACACACAGAACACACACAGAATAATCAAGACCTGAAAATGCAATTTTTGCCGCTCACACCTTGAGTCCCATTGACTTTGAATCTGACACAGTCCAGCTCAGTGTCACTTTAAAAAAGCCTCTTGGACCACTGAAGTCCACCATGATGGACTTTTATCCTTTTATTCTTTATCAATACCAAATATGGTCTTCAGCCTCAGGGGACTTAGATACACATTTCTATTATATAGAGAAAGATAGGTTGGTAAACATATATAGAAACATATAGACTCTAGGGAGTGCCAAAAATGCCACAAACCTGTACCCATCACACCCACTGATTTCACAGACAGCCGATGAAAAGGGGGCAGATGCTGCATACAGTGTAATGAAGAAACGTGTGTTTGGTCTCACTCCTTCATTTAACAGAATCAGACTACCTGAAGTGACTTTAATCAGCTTTGTCAAACTTGCTCATATTTTTAATTTTGGGTGATTGAGTCGTTTCTTTCTCTGGAGCACAGAATGTTAAAACCTGCTCAATGTACGGATGAGTTTTTGTTCTTCAGCTACTTAACATACTTTCACATATAAACTTCACTGTTATTAATATTCTGCATGTTTTAGGGATTTTTTGCTCATTCAAATGAATGAGTTTACAGAGATTATAAGCAGAGTCACTACTATCAGATGTAGAGGGCCTCTACAACAACATTCCAGGGGTTTTGCTGTGGGATGTCACACACTTTAATGAACTGAAGACACAGTGTAGGACACAAGCTCAACATGCTGCAGTTTTAAATGAAGTTTTAGTAAGTAAGTAAGTAAGTAGTTCAGTTACGGCACATTCTGCTTTATTACTCAATGACTGATATTTCTGCTCTTATATTTATTCCACCCACACTGTTGAAACCTCTACAGTCACATTTCTGACCCCCACACCTGACCTGTGATCTCTCTGCCTGTATTCCCGGAGTCAATCAGTCCCTGGGTGCTGGTCTTTAAGTATCACTCCATTTCACCACCATCACCTCTGGACTCTGAAGGTTTTCATCATCCACCTGCTCATTCTACTTCACCACCAGAATCCTGTAACCATCTTCATTTTGCCGACACTAACTCCCAATGCTTCATTCAGTTGTTCTGTCCTTATTAACCTGCTCTTTTTTACCACGGTTACCAAATGACTTATAAACATGTTTGTTTCATACAGACTGACGATAAGATCACTTCCTAAACAACCATGTTA